TGGGTGGAGGGGTATCCCACCCCCCACCCCCTGACCCCTCATCACACAACACCCAGTGCACCTCACCAGCTTCATCCCACCACCAGTCCCCTCTTAGCACCCAATGTCATCCCTCTCAAAAGACCCCACCCCACCTCTCGCCCCCTCACTCCTCGCACCAGCCCCCAGCCCCCTCCTCCTCCCTCCCCCTCCTTACCTGCTCACAGCACCCCACTCCATCTTCCTCTTGACACTGCACCCCATCCCCCTCGCTCCCCTGACCCCCTCACACGCTCCCCATCCCTCAGCCTGGGGGGTGGGGCTGGCCACCCCCGCTCCAGAGGACACAGGCTCGGCAGTGACAGGAGCAGTGCTGAGCACTGTGTTTCTCGGGGCCCAGTGGCTCATTTTCAAAGTCCTCCACAGACGATTCTGCCCAGGAACCAGCTATTGGTTGGTGCCTTCCCACCTACTCGGCAGGGTCAATGGCCAGCATGGTCAGGCCCTGACCTTGGTGCCTGCCACCTCCCCACGCACCTCCAGGCAGAGCAGCGCCTGGGGTCCTCGGTGCTGTGCAGCCTTGGGTGTGCTGCCGGGCCTGAGTCTCCCCCTTCAGGTAGAAAGAGCAGCAGGGTGGACCCTTGACCCCAAGACGGGAGACGGGTCTGCTCCCCACACCACGAGCACCTCCTGTTGCCTGCGGTCATCTGTCAGAAATGAGACAGGGCCAGTGGCTACACTGGAGAGGAGCCCTGCGTTCAGCCTGCTACAGAGAACCCCAAGGGCCCAGCTCTGGTCTTTGCTGGAAGGCCACTTTGCTGATGTCCTTCCCCAGGGGCTGGTCTCTCCGGACAACATGTCTGTGTGAGTCTGCGTAGACTAGAGAAACAAATCCACCGAAACTCATAGATGTATAAGAGAGAGTCATATATAGAGGGTAAGTGTACATTCAGAAAGCATCCCAACCCAGTGCTGTCCAAGCTTATAAGTCCGACTTAGCCCATACGTCCAACACCAATGTACAAAGTCCTCCTCCGTCTCACAAAACACATGCAATGATGCCGACTGCAGGAGGAAAGCCCAGTCAGTGAATGTGTAAGCATCTCAGCGCTGGCAGGGGTCTCCACACGGCTGCTCCAGCACCCAGGGCTGCATCAGGGTAGGTCCATGTGGCTTCTCCTCAGGGATGACTTGCAGGACGTGAGCCTTGCCAGCTGAAGCAGGGAACTGGCTAAGGCAGCTGCACCCTGGTCCAGCCATCAGAGAGTGAGACCCGAGAACTAGAAAGGCGAGGCTCACCAAGCCATTTATCTCTCCGCCCTTCAATGATCCCCACATGTGTGTATCGGCCAGGTTGGCACCATGAACCTGAACGCTCAATGTCCAAAGCATGTAAGATGAAGCCTGGATCCTTGCCTCCCAGGAGCGCTCTGGCCGGACTTTGTCCAGGCCAGGTTGGTTTTCCCTTTTGCAGTCCATGGTACTTTCAGTATTCTTTCTCCAGCACCACAACTCCAGCACAACCATTCTGCTTCAGTCTTCCTCGTTCAGTGTCCAACTTTCACGGTCCCGTGAAGCAAAGGGAAATGCCGTGGCATGGGCCAGGCCCCCCGTAGTCCTCAAAGTAACCCCCCCTTGCCTTGCACTACCCTAAAGAGGCCTGTGCAGCAGATGGACCCAATGCAGTGCATGTCTTCTGACCGTCTGACGGCGGCTTCCACAAGCACTGAGTGTGGACCTAAGCATGACCAAATCCTTGACGGCTTCAGCCTTCTCGCCACCGATCATGATGGGACTTAATGTGTCCAGGTGGGAGGATTCGGGCTCCTCGATCCTGGGTCGTCGTCCACACTGAAGGCCGCCATCCTTGACCTTCATCAGCAAGGGCTTCCGGTCCTCCTCGCTTTCAGCCAGCGAGGCTGTGCCACCTGCATGGCACAGGTGGTTCACGAGCCTTCCTCCAGTCCTGGTGCCGCACGCTGCTTCATGGAGTCCTGCTTCTCTGGCGATTTGCTCGGTGCACAGATTGAATGGGCATGGTGAGAGGACGCAACCCTGACCGCACCTTTCCTGATCATAAACCAGGCAGCGTTCCGTGTTCTGTTCCCACAACTTCCTCCTGACCCACCTTCAAGCTCCTCACGAGCACCATTGAGTGTTCTGGGATCCCCTACTTCCTAGGTTATCCACAGTGGATTGTGGTCCACACAGCCGAAAGTCTTTTCATCGTCAACAAAATATAAGAAACATCTTTCTGGCGTTCTCTGCTTTGAGCCAAAATATAGCTGACACCAGCAATAGTGTCCCTCGTCCTGTGGCCTCTCCTGAACCCGGCCTGAGCTTCAGGCAGCTCCCCGTCAATGTGCTGCTGCAACCATTGCCGGATGATCTTCAGCCAAATTTGGCCTCTTTCTGATATCAGTGATACTGTTCGGTAACGTGACCGCTCTGTCCGGTCACCTTTCTTTGGAATGGGCACAAGTATGGGTCCCACATCCTATAGAAAAACAAATGATAGATTAAAGACAAATATAACCCGTGGAACTGTGAAGATCACCCGTGGCAATACCGTGACAGACCTAGGGCGCAGATGCCAGGGATGAGCACACGTCCAGGGAGAAACACCCCCCACAGAAGCCACCACAGGACCCGGACTTGCTGAAACGACAGCATGTAGATACATAGACATCCACGGAAGAAAACACAAAGTAACACTAGGGGCGAATGGGCAACAATGTATCCAATAAAGGGCTGGTCTCTAAATCTGTAGACAACGTCAACACCTCGCAAGAAAGACCCTAATGACCCAGTGAAAACACGGTAGAAGACATGAGCCGACGATTCACCCCAGAGGGCATCCAGGTGGCCGAGAGCCCTCTGACGCATGCTCGGGGTCACCCGCTCCAAGAGGAATATGTAAATGAAAACAACCAGGAGGTGCCCCCTGCCTTGGGCACTCTTACGGAAAGACAGCACCATGGAAAATAGCCATTGCTGGCGAGATGTGGAGAGACCGGACCGCGCAGACTCTGCTGGGGGTACGGCACTGGGGAAAGTGGCCGGGGGTTTCCTAAGCAATGTAGATAGAAGTGCCAAGTGACCCAGATTCCTCCACACACACACACACCCCAAATAAGAAGGAAACATTAACAGATTTATGCACGCCATGCTTATCTCAGCGCTGTACACAATAGCGAAAATATGGGGCAACCAAAATGCCCCTCTGGGGAGTTACAGATGGATAACCGCCCCCTTCTCAGACACCCACACAGGCACGCATGCAGTGGAATAGTATGCACCCCTGAACAACCATGATGAGGCTGCCACGTCTCGTGGCATGGATGAATTCGGAAGGCACTTCGCTCTGTGACGCCAGTCCACCCCCAAAAGACAGACAGACAGACACTGCGCGAGACCACGATCATCAAAGAGAACAACAGCAAGTGAAGTGGTTTTCACACTGAGAGGAGCAGACGTTGACATTCACAGGGAAGGGGAGGAGGGAGAAATAAAAATGAGTAAGTGACTTCTGCAGAAACCCTGCACGAAATCTCAGAGAGCCGTTTGGCGTCGCCCCCTCGAGCCCTGTCACCTGGTCTGGTGGCGGCGCTGGGGTCTCGTCTGGGGAAGGGGAGTGTGCATCCACATCGCCAGGCCCTGGGGAGATGCATAATGGGGACCAGGGCCTGCGCTGTCACCGCGGCCTTCCCAGGACCAATGGGAGCCCCTCTGCCTGCTGCCCAGCGGCACTGCACGCTGTGGTCGTGGCTGCCTGGGAGCCTCACCCTGAGCCCGCGTGGGCCTCTGGAGCTGACCTTCGCCATCAGAGGAGCTAGGGACACGAGCAGGAGCCACGTGGGAAAGCCTTGGAGCACCAGCACTGACGGCTGAGTGTCCGCAGGCTTCCCCGTGAGGCCAGGCCCTCTCCTGACTGCCTGTGGGCACCCTACGGTCCACCCCAGCAATGCACCCACATGCTGCTCCAGTAAACGACCCCACAATCTGCCCCCAGCATGCACCTGTATGGTCTACCTCACAAGGTATTGCATGCAGCTGCCAGCCAGTGATGGCCTGTCATCTGTCCCCAGTCCCTAGGGTGCATCCCCAATATTGCCCAGGCTCCCACAGTGGACTCCCCAGAAGTACACCCTCAGCCTGTCTCCAGCCCGCCAAGGTATGCCCGCAGCAGTGCACCCCCAGTCAGTGCCTAGCCCCCCTCATCATGCACCCCCTGACAGTGCACCCCCAATCTGTGCCCAGCCCCCAATGGTGCACCACCAGGATTGCACCCCAATTGTGCCCAGCACCCCGGGAGCACCCCCCCCAAC